TTGGTTTTGTGATGGTGTTCTTGGGGTTTACGAGCTTTGAGTTTAGGGCCCGGTGAGTCTGAGTTGTATGGTTGATCTTGCATAGGCTTTAGGGTTTAGGGTCTAGGCTTTAGGGTTCAGGGTTTAGGGGCCAACTAGAGTTCAGGTGGCGGGTGGCGGGGACTGCAAGATTTGCGAATTCGCATTTTTTGCAGTGGGATACTTGATGTTGAACCCTAAACTGGCCCTAAACCCTATGCTGAAGTCTGCGGTAGCGGCAACTGCATGACCTATAGGACCATATGGGCCTTCATAGTTAGAATAGGGTCGTAGAGGTTTCTGTAAGGTTTTAGATTGTTACAATGGTTTTCTTCAGGGCTTGACACAGGGCCTGTAATTGCAACAGGGTTCGGAAGGGTGTCTATGGCAGTCTATAGCTTTGTGGGATTTGTATGATAGTCTACAATAGGGACTACTACTAACGGGATATTCTTGCCAATTTTCAGACACCTACATGAAACATTACTTGAGTCCCTCCCTTACCCACCACTGCAACCTAAACCCGACGCCCTGGACACCCTCCACGCGTCTCCACCCAAAGCGCACCCACCTTGGCGAGGCTTTCTTGGTCCTCGTCTTCGCGGCCCTTGAAAATTTGAAAAAGCTTCTGTCGAGGCAGGTTAACCCTAAACCCTAAAACCCAACTCCCTAAACCGCAAACCGTAAAGGGTTGAGGGTTTAGGGTTTAGGGTTGAGGGGTCTGACCTTCAGGGTTTAGGGTTTGGCGTTAAATTGCCCTTTTGGGGTTCAGGGCAGCCTGACTGCAGCATTGTGAATCCAATGTTCATGTACACATGGTATCCCCAGCTTGAGCATACATGTATTTCTTTTTATACTTATACCTACTTGTAATTCTATTTGATTCGTAAGGACCAGGTAAGGGTAGACATACTACTACAGTAGTTGGCGTAGCACCCCAGCTACCTCATTAATCAACTTCTGTAGTAAATTGCATGATCCTTCAAACATAAATTGCCTTCACCCAAAAAGCCCCTCCGTGTGAAGCCGAACCCCCAGAGCTTTGCCACGCCTTGTCCTCCCCAAAGCTGTAGGTCATGCACTGTACTTAGAGGCTCAAAGGATTTAATGGATCATGGGTCAAACGTAATATAGGGGCCGAAATAGTTACCAATACTATTTTTTTGGGGGGGGGTCCTCATTCTAATTATGATATAAATGGCCCCAACAACCGTGTTCTAATTATTCGGCCCTTATATTAGGCGGTTCTGTGGGGTAGGTGAACCGGTTTCAGTTATCGGATCCTAGAACTTTCAAGATACTGGTTTAGTTGTGAGAGTGGGAGGGGGCATCCGCAATATCGCCAGGATTGTCGAGGAAACTCACAAGCTGAGGGCCAAGAGTTCTGCTGCGTACCGCCACTTTCTCTCTGTCAGGGGTGGGGGGCCCAATTCCATAAAGCCGCACACCTTATTCGGAGGCATAGGAGACCCTAAACTCTAAATTGGCGAGTAGACTACATGTCGGGATATATGCAGGAGAGTCCGAGCTGGGGCACGTATACCCCGGAATATAACCAAGTTCGCACATCCCTCTATTAAGCCCCAAGGCATTCCTCGACCCTAAATTTACGTCACCCCCCCGTCGTTTGGC